TTCGCGAGCCGTGGAAGCACAACTTTACCACTTTTACAGCACATTGTGAAGACATGATTTTTACTACGACGGCGTTTTCCAATTCTTTCACCATACCACATATATGCTTGACAATGTTTACAATTCCAAACTGGGTCTCCGTCGTCGTAATAACCTGTTTAAGAACATATCATCATTAACGGTCACAATATGTTAATGGAAAATTATTTATATAGGCTTAGCAGTTTTTTTAACTATTATAAGAGATTATGGTATATTTAAATAAGCTTGAATATTAATTTATAAAATGTATTGAACTATTTATTTTATATTAAATGAGAACTCATTTATTTAAAATAAATATATTGTTACAATAAGAATAAATATTTAAATTTGAGAACAACGTGATTACCGTTTTTCTGTATCCCGCTGATAATAGGCGATGTAACTGTATGATTTGTTTGTTCTGCGGTATGTTGTGGTGATGGGTTTATCAAAGACTCTCCAGCTGGATAGTTAGTGTAAGTTTGATTCTCGTCATCTTCATTTTCACTTTCAGACTCACTGTCCATTTCATATCGATTATTGTAAGCTGCGTGAAAATTTGTATGAGATAGTCAAAACATATGATCAATGAATATAATTTTCTGTCTCATGTATATAAATGGAAAATACATTTTACCTTCAGGATGGTCCTCCACGATGAACCTTGGTGGAGGAACGAATACATTTGTTTTGGCTTGCTGTAATGGACTTTGCATAGCTGAAAAATAAAATGATAAAACATATAAATAGAAGTCTAGAGCAGACGAGCAGAATAATAACTATGATTATATATTACTATTTACCTTTAGTGAGTCATAATATTACTACAATTATAACAGAGGATAAAAATACCTTCAGGATTTTCATCTGTTAGAAACAGTCTTGGAAGAGTCGGATTTGATTGTCCTGTCATGTTGTGACCTTGCCTTGCTGTTAATATTTGCCAGAGTAAAATTAATCTCACTTTACTGGATAACATAATAGAATAACTATACGCTAAATTAGTAATAACCGTTGTTACCTTTCGTTTTTTTCTCTTTGAATTCACCGATGGAGGTGATCCAAGAGTCTTTCGTTTCCTGGCTGAAATGTTGGTACTCCGTTGAGATCCTTCTAGGTTACCAATTCTACCTAAAAAGATGACATTATGTTTTATACGTAACTTGTAATTACGCGGTCTCCCTAATGATTAGTCTTAACTACTTCTTTATGATCCCTAATACAAAGCGATACCAAAAAAATACACTCCTGTTATGTTTTATACGTAACCTATGCTATTACTCGCAGGGTGCGGGCCGTTTCCAGAACCAGTCAAAATTACAGTGGTAGGTGAACTTTGCGTTTCAGAATGGGGGCCTGCAGACATAAGTAAAATGAACAGATAAATAAGGAAGCTAATTGTGAAAAGGGTTTTTCCAGTAATTCCTCCTAAATTTGTGATTTCTGTTGATTGTAATGAAATTATACTAGAATTTGGTACAAGTGATGGCTTTGTTGGCTTGAAAATCCTTGTAACTCCTTCAATGTAATGAAAATAAATTGGTCAGTTAAGTTCTTATTGTCAAGAGATTAATAAAAATAAACATGGGGAAAATGAAAGCTCTAAGGAGACTTACCTCTATTTGAGGTAGTAATGCCAATTGTTCTTCTGTTATCTAGGATTTCCTTTCTTGCAACTCTTGCTCTCTGTGTCGCATGTTTAAAACTTTGAAAAACACTACTTAATGGGACAGTATGTGTCGATGAATTTTCAACGAAGTTTGAAGGATTAGACTGTGCTGGGCGTTGAATAATGGGTCAAAATACTTGATTCGTAACATTCTGGAAGGGCACCCTAAAATGATTTTGGATACTTGGTGAAGGTGAAACATTTGTGATAGATGAGTTTTGTGTTTTGTTCCCCACAACTGTATTCTCTTTGTCATTGGTACCTGTGTTTCACAACTCGAACACATTAACCCATATCATTAGAACGTAATATGATCATTATTTTTTTGTTCAGTAGAACGAACCCTTAGAACAATATTAGATATTTTGTTTATTTTCAGTACAACATACCCTCTTTGGCTTTCTTATGTGATTTATTCCCAGTGTCTGTCGACAATGCATTGCTTCTCTTCATGCTTCCAAATCCACCTGAAAGCTTGTGTTTTTAGTAAGAACTAAACACTTTCTGTATATTGAATCTTATGTACTTGAGAGAATAAGGATTGAATAAACTAACTTTGTGTTATAGTAAATCGAAGAAATCGAGTGCAGAAGCCGACGTCTGTTTTCAAAATATAATATAGTGATTACGGATTGATTTTGTATCGAAAATTAATAATAGAGAACTAACCTAATTCATTACGTGATAGCCAGTTTACAAATATGTACAATCCTTAAAGATTGATAATATTTCCTTATTATAGTGTTGCCAAGAAAATAATAATTAATTTTTTTGGAAAACACTTTATGACAATATAATCCTTAGTATCTTCTTTTACATTGTTTGCACTTCCAATTATGATTTTCTTACAATCTCCTTTTTTTACTCTGGATGAATTCTATTGGCAAAATTAATAATAGAGAAATAATCTACTTCATTACGTGATAGCCACTTAAAATATATGTATAAATCTTTTAAATTTTTATAATATTTCCTTATCAAACTGTTGCCTTATTCTACAGTTTATTACTTGCGCAAGTGTTTAACATGTACTATATTGGAAAAAGCTTTATGATAAGCCAAATACTTAAAAATGTTTAAAATTCCAATTGTATCAGTTTTCTTGGAAATTTAATAAGTTGTTACATAATAAATGGTTTATATAATGGGTAAACAATAATCGATCAAAGGAGGTGAAAACATAAACGAAACAAATGAGGGAATTATTTGATGATAATAAGTATAAAACTAAAAACAGGGACACTGAGAAAATAAATAAAAATTAAAGAAAACATGCACAAATCAAATACTGAGATTCATCCACTTTGACATGCAACATGGACTTCAAGTTTCTCCATTTCTTTTGGAGTAGTACGCAGCTCATATAAAATCGTCTTCCGAGTCATAATCATTAAAAATCACAACATGTGGCTGCACAAAATATTGCAGTTGGTTAGAATATATACTGTGTATTTTTAATATGAGTTCACATATAAGTTAAATCTTACATGTGGATGAAAGTGTTGAACTATTTCTGCATCGTCAACCACTAAATCAACAACATATGTTGAATTTTGATCTTTCAGACAATAAGAACTGATAGTGATCCCAAATAAAACTTTCCTCCCAATTAAATCTGTTAGAGATTGAGGTAAAATATGTGGATTTTCCTGTAAAAAAAATTAAAATTACGGTTCACAATTAATCTCTATAATGTAATATTCCTTACTCCCCCTTTATTAGAAATTTATGGAAATACCTCAACAGCCTCTTGGACTAACTGAAAAGCAGGTCTCCTAATGAGTTGCTGAGCAGCATTGTTGAAAAGCAAAAACTTGGCTTTTGCTTTTGATTCATCAGATACAAGTAAAACCAAGTAGTAGCTAAAAAATACAAAATTGAAATTAGTTTCAGAACATGTAATAATATGTGATTATAAAGGTAGCAAGATAGATGAATATAATATGGCCATACCAGTGAATAACATGTTCAACATCCTTCTTGCATGTAATGCAATTGTACTGACGATTCAACTCAACATGGTTGTCAATAGCATCAAAACCATCTCCTTTTCTTACCACTTTTCTATTGCAAAAATTGCAGGCAGTGTAGTACCATGATTTTTCCAAATCAACAGCCTCAATTGTGGAAACAACGACGTACTATCCAGCCTATTTTGATTTATTTCAATGATAACAATAAATATGTAGTGATATCATATTCGAATTAGTTAAAACCAAAATTATAAATGGTTGGCCGCCCTAAGACAGTAACATATTTACCGTTCTTGAGTCAATAATTTCAGAAATTGTCTTCTTCATGCTTTCCATTGCTTGCAATATTCTGTGTTTTGAAAAAGAAAAAAAAAACCAGAATTTAATCGTTTTTTATAACCTAACGGCAATAGTCGTAATATAGAACATATAGAGTGGAGATTGTAACCTCTTTGGCAACTTAATTGATATAGAATGACGACAACATGAAAAAACCCTTAGAAGATCACCAAATCAAATAAGTGGTTCTTGCTTGATTGTAACCTCTCTCAAACGAATAAAGTTTGATTGCATATAAAATTTTATTTCTAAGAGCAAGCTGAGAAACCTAGGTGCTATAGAATATACGCAAAAATTATATTTGATAAGAATAAGGTCATGAGTAGGTCTCAAGTAATCGTTTAATTCTATAATTCTTTATTAAGAAAGCAAAAAGGAATGTCATCATTAACTTGAATGAAAACATCCGTGAGAAAAGAGACCAACCGGAAAATTTCTAAAAAAACTTAAGATAATCCATTAGTATTATTTCCATTTTTAATAGTTTAGTCTACAATATATTCAAATGCATAAGATTAAGGAAAATGAGTTGTGGTCAAGTAATCTATTCAATATTCCGAAGAGGCATAGGCATGAAAGTATAATAAAACAATCATATACCTTTGTTTTTTTCCGTCTTTTTAGCCTAACTATTTACGTAGGATTTAGTTTTGATACACAGTTATAGGTTTGTATGTTTGCTTATTTGCTACTTTGTTCATTATCCAAGCAGTTCTACTTTGTCCAAAGCATAGATGTTGACTTGTTTTATAATCTCTTCATCTAAATTATGTATTGTTATGTGTGTATATGTGTTTACTCGATTTGAAAAGATCGAGCAAACAAAATATAATCTATGAAGATAGAATGTATAACATTTCGACCGTTTCTTACATGCCAAAATAAACTAAATAAGTAGATGTAAAATAACAAAAAGAAAATACGACAAATTACTATAAATCCAAAAACAAAGAGAAAATATATAATTCCTATTGCCAACAAAATTCGAGAAATTACTAAAACGGTGTAGCTGGAATTATCTCCAGGACTTTGAAAGTTTTCAAGTTGAACAAGAAATTTTCCTCCTCTATACCAATCTTACAGAAATAAGTTCCGCCAATTAATGTAGAGAGAACAGAATGGACGAGAAGAGGTTCCTCGATCTATTATCAATTTAGAAAAATAATTGTTAAACAGATTCAGTTACTTCACATATGCATAGTTTGGAAAAAAGCTTGCGATATGTCAATATTAAGTTGATAAATATTACCTGGTCATCGGATGAATTTATTGACTCAACGCAGGGAATCCCTAATACCTCTTCTGCAAGGTTGTCAAGCAGAAGTAACTGTGTGTGGGCAGTATAGTCAAGCACTACCAGTTGTAAATTGTACCTAGAATAATGAGATGCTCGTATATTTAGAAATAACTGGTTTCTGGAATCTAAAACACATAGAAACTAATAATTCCAATATTATAATTACCTTGGCATTAGTTCTGGCTGATTGTTTTTACACTGGAAGCAAGAGTACTTTTTCTCAATTTGAGACTTTTGATTTCCATAAACGTTCTTATCGCTAGGAAACGAAACTACTTTACGACCACGGATTTTGCAACTCATATAGTACCATCCCATATCATAATCAATTCCAGCAATTGTACACATAACAATACACCTCTGCCGCTGTGTATTCAAAGAGAAGAGTTTTATTACAATAGTAGAAAAACAATGTTAATATATAACATATCATGTACCTGGTTAGTCTCTAACACTTCAAGAATTGATTTCTGAATGATAACTTCAAAAAATTTATACTCATCACAATCCGGACTCAGAAAATACGGTTTCGACGAAACCAAAGCTATCTGGGGGTCTCTTTTGTTCATCCTGCATATTTTTAAAACATATAACAAATTATGATTTTCACATGTTGGTATAATATATATTGTTAATAGAGTATATTAATAAATCTGTATATAAATACTTATGAGACACTTACAATTTTAAAAACCTTCAACCTCTAACATTTCAGGATTGAGGGAAACGTCAGTAACACCGTATGCAGTAGATACACTATCTGTTGGTCAGCAAGACAAAATAGGTAAGTAGCAATACTCAATTTGATAGACGTAATGTAGTAGTTTTATACAGGAAGATTACCTTTGAAATCATTGATTTTGGCAAATCGCAGAACACATATAATAGACTTCTCCTGGATGAGGTTTTTAGTAGCATCGTCAACAAATATAGCATATTTACCCCACAAATGAACCGTGAGGTGATCAGAACTGGAGAAGAAATAAGTCAATAAAAAATATCTCATACACTATGAATAAGCGATTTGGTAATTTTTTTGAATTTGGAAAACATACAATTGATTTTGGATCTCCAGAGATATCTTCTCAGTGTCTTTTCTATTGAGAGAAACAATCTCCACATCAGTGACTCGAACTATCTGACCTATGACGTCTACAAAACAAGTGGAAAAATATCAGCTAAAAAATGAACCGGATAGATGTTTAATTAACAGAATAAGCACAAACCCAAATGAATGTGCATCAAGAACATGTTTTAATATACTCACCAACAATACTCACTATTGACCAAACCATCCAAGATATCTCTGAAAGCAACTGGTTCGAAACCAGTGAGTGGGCGTGGTACGAAATCAGAGGCACAAAAACGGGTATGACGGACAAAATCAATCATGTATGTATGTTTACTGATTCGATATGCACCTCTCGATTGGACAACAGAAATTTTTTCAAAAGTTGTCCATAAACCTTCTTTGAGTCTTGCCTCAAATGGTGCTACCAAAGATGGTGCGATAGAAGCATGGATCTTATCTCCCTGCAATTTAAAAAATTATACAAGGGAGAACTCAGCGGTTAGGTTGTAATTTCTGTGAAACGGTATAGAAAAGTCTAACAAAGAAAAAATCTTACAAAGGCATCACATAGCACCAACTCAATAGTATATCGATTAGATGCGATATATTTTTTCCACAGACGGATAATCTGAACATTAATATGGCATATCTCTTTGTAAGGCTCGAGCTCTGCTACCGTGCTGAAAGTACACATATCTATGATTCAGAGTTTGAAAATTAGGTTAGTAGAAGTATTTAGGTTAAAGTAGGTGTTTTTATAACAACATGCTTTATCTATTAATAGTGTGTTCATCAAGGTAAACATCTATATGTTCCATAAATTGGGTCCGTTAAATTATTATGCGTATATCTTCTACCCATCTTTGGTTTCTGAATTTTATATTTTTGTTATCAATTAATAAAAAAAATACCAATTGAATAAGAGAAAATTATTATATATTTTCGATTTTGTTTACATGATACATTAATTTTAAAATATATTTACTTAGTTCTGAAACATATATTTACATATCTTCATGTTTATTTGAATTACCGTATTGTCCAAGTAAATATCCCCCTTAAAATTATAGTAGATACGACATCAGCCTCGGGAGGAAAGAGTTTAAAGCAGACTAAACGATGTGTGAAACATTCCTAAGAAGATCTTACTATAATACAGATGTGGTAGTCCCATGAAAAAGACAATAATCCAGAGAGTCGAACATGTAAAGTAAATAAATAAAATCAGAGGATATATCACATGATAAGTAGCTGAAGGGATAGAGTCTTTGGGCTGGCTATCGTTACAATAACATGTGTATTTGAATAATAAACATTTAGATCATAACATAGAATCTAGGCTGTCATAGTTACCTCATGTGTATTTGGGGCAGCTAAAAAATGTGTTTGCAAATTTGATTAGAGTTTTAAGATCCTGAAGCAATTACAGCTGATGTGAATGTTGTCTTTATCTATGGAGATCGTACGTACGTGATTGTTGTCTCGCATGGCAATGTTGTCTTTATCTATGGAGATGGTAGCAACTTATTATTTTTGATCAGTGTGTTATCACCTTTCACATCAGCTTTTTTCTCTAACTTGAAAGAACCTTTATTGAAAACCATTATTCTTGAAAGAAAAACTATGTGACAACACATTGAACAACAGTATTATCTTATCTACTTCCAAAATATTCCTCCAAAATATTACCAACACATCGAACAACATTGATCTCTTCATAAATTATATAGAGTGATAGACTGAAACCTCGAGCATTATTTTTCTTCTTCTTTCTTCAGTCCTCCTCTGGTTTTTGCTTTTTCAAGTAAGTGGGTTATGCAATAATAGATTGGATGAAACTTCCAATACAGCTGTGACATTGCTTTTTATAATCCTATTATGTTTTCATATAATCTTTTACTCTTTCTTATTTATGCAATCATCTATCATCTTCAAACCAATACTAAGCAGTAGAGTGAGAGTGTCGAAATAAAAACAAAACAAAATGAGTTCCGAAAACTCTGTCAAGAATTACAACTCCGGCGAGAGTGATGCCCCCTACACCAACAAAACTAAACCAACAAAATTAATGTAAAAAAGCGACATTAATGTAAACTACCTTCAAAATACGGCAGATATCTATGTGTATACCAAAAACACATATTTTCTCCTACAAATATGGAATGTTCTAAAAGAATATATATTATCAAATTATGGAATATGGAAATCTACTAAATAATATTAAATTAAACCAGTGGTTATTTATGTAATATAGTTTTGGGCTTACTTTTATTTTTTGAACAAATTATATAGTTTTGTTTTTGGGCTTAGTATTAAGAAAAAACTCCAAAAACATTGAATAAACTTTTCACCATAAAAGATCAAAAAATCAATTATTATTTTCAGACCCAAAAGGTGTTTAATATTTTTAACTAAACAAAATTATCCATTATTAATCATTTATTTAAATCATGTACTTTAAAACATGTTAATATATATATATTTTTTTTAAAATAACAATCATTTTGTTTTGATAATTTAAAATGTAACTTTTAGATAATTTATTGTTTTATTTTTCTTAAATAATTTACTGATTAAAAAAATGTAAAGCAAAACCAAAAACCAAATCTAAAAACTAAAATCCAAAACCAAAAGCTGAAAACACATATTATATTTTTTTCTTTGTTTATTTACAAAATAAACTATTTCAATTTTTTTAAAAAAAATTGTTTTCATCTTTTTAGTTTTAAATTAGATGTTCGATTATTTGAGATTTGTTTGTTGGTAATATTTGTTCAAACTAACTCAGCGGGTTTAAAAATTAAAAACCCAAACCAAAATCTGAAAATGAAAAGTAGAAACTTAAAAACTAAAAACCAAAATCCAAAATCTAAAAATAAAAAACTGAAACTAAAAACTAATGAAAAACAATCATCAACATAAATTTTGGTGAACTGATTTTATATCAAAATACTATTTAAATTATGACAAAACCCAATTATATAAATTTTTAATGATAAAAAATTTCCGCGCTTTTAAGCGCGGGTCAAAATCTAGTCTATTCTATTAAAATAGAGTAATTATTTTTATCTACTGATACAAGTTGTCATTTAAATTTGGACCCTTTCTAGAGTGTTACAAATAATACAAGTTATATAGTTGATTGAACCACATTACTTAAATTAAACCAGCGGTTATTTATGGAATAGAGTTTTGGGCTTACTTTTGTTTTTATGACATTTAATTTTTTGGTTTTGGGGTTTAGTATTAAAGAAAACTCCAAAAAACATTAAATAAACTTTCAACCTTAATGGATCAAAAATCAATTACTATTTTCAGGCCCAAAAATATTTAATATTTGCAACAAAACAAAATTATCTATTATTAATCACTTATTTAAATCATGTACTTTAAAACATGTTAATATTTTTTAGCCCAAAAATATTTAATATTTTCAATAAAACAAAATTATCTATATTAATCACTTATTTAAATCATGTACTTTAAAACATGTTAATGTTTTTTATTTTAAATAACAATCCCTCTATCTTGATAAATTTTAATGGTAACTTTAAATAATTTATTGTTTTCTTTTTCTTAAATAATTTACAGATTTAAAAAAAAATGTAAAGCAAAACCAAAAACCAAATATAAAAACTAAAATCCAAAACCAAAAGCTGAAAACACAGGTTATATTTTTCGCTTTTTTATTTACAAAATAAATTATTTCAAAATTTTTAGAAAATTATTTTGTCATCTTTTCAGTTTTAAATTACATGTTCGATTAATTGAGATTTGTTTGTTGGTAATATGAGTTCAAACTAACTCAGCGGGTCTAAAAATTAAAAACCCAAACCAAAAGCTGAAAATCAAAAATAGAAACTTAAAAACTAAAAACCAAAAACCAAAATTTAAAACAAAATCTAAAACTAAAAACTAATGAAAAACAACTATCACCACAAATTTTGGTAAACTAATTTTATACCAAAACATTCTTTAAATTAAGAAAAAACTCAATTATATAAATTTTTAATCACAAAAAATTTCCGCGCTTTTTAAACGCGGATCAAAATCTAGTATAACTTATATTTGATTAACATAAAAACAATACTTTATTCGACTCAACTTGCTTCTAGGTGGAAAACTATAAAGTATTATATATAATTAATTTGACTATAACACTACGGTTAAACTTAACACATTTTAAAAGTGCTGACACAAAAATCTCAAATTTTATTTATAACTAGCCCTTTTTTGTTTTTTTTGTTTAAGGCCTCTCATATTTACTAATTATTATATTTATGATACAATTAATTGAATAAATATTAATATTTTTTGTATAGTGTATCATATATTTTGGTGTATATATGATTTGGTGAATATTTATGGTTCGTATAAATATATTCAAAAGTAATCAATGGAAAAATAATATATAAGATCAGATATTGTTTCTTACTGCATTGGCAATAATTATTTGTTATTAACTTATATTTAGGATAAAACCATTTTGAATAACTATTAATATTTTAATGTTTATCATATTTTGTGTATATGATGGGATATATGATTTGGTGAAATTTTATGAATATATTCAACAGTCATAAAAATTATATATGGTCAAATATATTTTTTTTGTTAAAGATATGGTCAAATAAAATTAATAGCTATATAATACATTAGTTTTAAAATAAATATATGGTAATGAATAAAATTCAAAATGATATCTAGTCAAATGTCATAAAATTATATATGGTGAAATATATATTTTATTGGTTGAAGATATGGTCAAATATAGTTTTCTTACTATATTTGCAATAAAATTAATAGCTATATATACACTACTTTTAAAATAAATATATGGTAGTGAATAAAACTCAAAATGATATCTAGTCAAATGTTTTATAAATAGAAAAAAATTGTGGCATATACTATATTACTTATTGTCTTTTTTTTTTCTACTAGGGCCGGCCCGGGCTACGCCCGGGTTTTTTGTTGAAATTTTAATCATATTTGTTGTATGTTATTTTGAAATATAAAATATAATCTATTACAATTATTTTAATTCTTTATTGTTTTTTCTTTCGAATTTCAAAAATTTTAATATTCAAATTTTTGTATGTCATAGATTATCAGTATGTGTTCTGCGTAGAATTATTGTGTATTGTGACTCGTCTCGAGTTTTGTATCTTTATTTGTTGTGTGTTATTGTTTTATTTTCAATATTTTTTTCTAAAATATTGTGTGGTTATTTATTACTCACTGTTTACTGTTTGAATCTTTTTTTTATAATTATTCTAAATTTGATCTTATTTACATAAAATAGAAAGACAATTTAGTTTGTGAATCTTTTTTCCTTAGATTTGATTAAACTTGAAGGAAAACAATATGAAAAATAGATTTTTCACTTTTCCAAACTTATAGACCTTTTTATTTATTTTGAATATGTATAAATATTCTGTGACTTTTACTTAACTATCAAATCTTTATTAAACTTTTCATTAAACACAGGAAAAAATACTTTGCATTAAACTCAAGTTATATTACATAACATAACTAAATTTTAGTTAGTCTATTTTTATATCTTATTAGTTCTTGGTTTTTAAATTATTTTAAATATGTAATAACTGTTAATTATTTTTATATCATTTTGTATTCTATGTTAACCTTAAATTTAGTATTAAAAAGGAAACCAAAAATCTGTGAGATTCATTATTTTTATTTTTGTTGGTATAAATTTAGTGAAATGTATAAAGATTAATAGCATAAATTGAATTATCCTATTTCTCATGAATTTTATTTATTATAATTATAAATTATTTGTATTATTATATTATATATTTTCACTAAATGATTAATTTTTTAACAAAAAAAATAATGACATTTTTTTTTGGTTTCATTAAAAATAAAATATTAATATAGTGATTTAGAAGTTATTAAATTGTTTTAAAGTTTGGTAGTCTATATTTAATGTTTATTTCATATTTGTTTGGGACATGTTATATTGATGTGGAAGGGGATGTACGTGTCAAAATATAAAGTAAATGATGAACTAAAGAATGTAAATAAATAGTAGGGACCGAAATGAAAAAAAAACAGACAGAACTCTACTGTGTCTGCAAAACCAAAACCTAGAACATTGTCCACGACGTTTCCTGGCGCAAGCTAAGAAACAGAGATTAGAGATGCGGAGGATCAAACGGACGAATTGGAATTCTCAAGAGAGCACTCGAGAAACCTAGGAGCCAATCTCACACTTTCCTCGCATCTCTCTCCTTCTCTACAGATGGCGGTTATGGCGGTGGCGGTGAGTCTCAGCAGACCAATAGCTCAAGGGTCAAGATCTTCAATCGAGATCTCAAGCGCGTACATGTGTGGTGCTCACTCAAATTCATCTTAACATTTTAATTAGCCAAAGCTTTTTTTTTTTCTTATTGATTATAACTATTTTGTGTGTGTTTGGGTTTTGACTCAGCGTGACCGAGCAGCGTGGCTGTCTCGCAATAAAAATGACACCTTTGTCGACGCTGTTGCTGAGAATCTTCTTGACCGCTTAGAGGTACACTACTCTTTTGTCTTTAATCATATTAAAGACAAATTCGAATTAGCTATTAGCAAATTAAGTAGTTATGTTTTTTTTTACTTTGGCTATTTTATAAGGATTGTAAGAAGAGTTTTCCCTCTGCATTGTGTTTGAGAGGTTCTCTTGGTGCTGTTCAGCGTTTACTACGTATGTGGTCGCGGTTAGTTCTAGACTGTCCTGATTTTTTACAGGTATTTTTTGAATATTTTGTTACTGATGTTGTTTTTCAGATTCGTTGCACAGGTGGGATTGAAAAGCTTATCATGATGATTACCTCACATGACATGATTAAATCATGCAGTGATGCAGAGATGCTCAAGAAGATTCTTTATATAAACATCTTACTTGGTTGGTGAAGAAGAGTTTCCCCCTTATCAAAGAGAGGTAACAACAACACTATACTATAACCTCTCCTTTTTTATGTGTCTGTTTAAGTCTTTTTGCTGCCACTCACCAGAGCTCTGTGTCAACTATTGATATTTGTAAAATGTTGTCTTTAAAGTTCGGTTGATTTGATCATAAGTTCATTGGCGTTCCACTGGACAAACGATCTTCCAGGATCCATGATACAGGTTTTCCCTTTTCGTTGCTTTTTTCCTGTGTATGTGGTGATTTAGTTTGTCTTCTTGAGTGAGATTAATAATGTGTTGGTTTCACATTAACTGCACTGCAAACTGGCGCTGAAGCCTGATGGCTTATTTTTAGCAGCGATTCTTGGTGGAGAAACCTAAAAGTTTGTCCGGTCTTCTCTCCCATATGTGCTTTCTTATTATCCCTTTTTGTAAAATGAATCTGTATTTTTATCAGCAAGCTGAGGATAGCATGCACTTTGGCTCACATGAAGCGTGAAGGAGGCATTAGTCCCCGGCTATCCCCTTTGGCACAGGTGTGTGTGTGAGTGAATCTTGCAGCTTAAATATAAAAATGCGACGATTGCAATTTGTAGATGACAGAACCAAAGAGTTGATTTAGTGTCGTACTGAATCTTTGAATCTATATCTTTCGGTATCATCTCTTCATGTGAGGAAGAAGACGAAACATCGTCTGAAAAATCGCCATAGCCATAAGTTTCTGAGAGGCGGAGAAGAAAAGTCATGAAACCCTAGCGGAGAACGCATCATTTCATTTACAGATTGGACTCATGGGCTGGGCTTGAAGTGGATATAAGAAAGCTGGTTATATTTGGAGCCCAAATGAATGCATATATCACGTCTTGAAGCAAGCTACGTGTCACGTTCTGAGACTCTTATTTAATGACGTGGCAAGCTAGGAGTAGGGAAAACCCTTCTTTATATACAGTGAAACCTTTTAAATTAATAATGTTGGGACTACACCAAAACTAAAATTTTTATTAATTTATAGAAATTATTAATTTATCGAAATATTAATTGAACCAAAAGTTCAATTTGGGACTATGAAATTATATTAATTTATAGAGATATTAATTTATAGATTATTAATTTAAAGAGATTATACTGTATATAGATTCTACAAATCCGGCAACCAATTTTTAATTAATGTTTGGTGTGTGGTATCAAATTACATGAAAAAATAGTAGAAACTACAATAATTTGAGTTAAGTAGTCAACTTTTGTAATTAGAAATACTTTACACAAGATTTTGAATTCTTTCAATGCCTCTTTTAAGTTTTAAGAGCTAATGGAAGTGGAACCAATTCAAACACAACTTTGTTGTTTAATTATGGACTCAGCTCTCATCGCTGGCGCACTAGCAATGCGATGTGCTTTGGAAGCATCCTCCACAGCCGGGGTTTTCCACCTCCAAATTCTACGGGACTCGAATGTCCTTGTTTCTACCTTCCAGTCAAAATATTCTATGGGGTTTTTTGCACTCGTAATAATTATACATAACTTAAATTTTGTTAAAGAAAACATAGAGTCGGTTGGATCAGATGGAATAGTGAGATTGTGCACCCACATTAACTTGGGTTCTATTCCTTCTTCTCTACCTTTACAGTTTTATTAATGATAGTGCATCCATTAGATAAATTGTCTAGCTTCGCCTCTGGATTCCACTCCCATGTTCATTGGTATATCATTTATGATTTAACATGTTACGGGTTAACCCGACTAGGTTGGATAATCTGGTAAAGCCTTAATAATTTATTTTTTTGGGTCGAACCAAGGGGAGTTTCGGTTTATCACTAGTCTCGATTGTGGGTTCGACAATAGGAAAGCGAATTATATGATGATAAGAGTATTATTCCATTAATATCAGCACATACGCTTCCCAGATGATTATACATGAATTTAATTAATTTTAGGCATTGTCGCAACAACAAAATCCCAAAACACATTTCCCGTCTCCGAAATTAGATGACCTACAGTCAATACTGCATTCATAAGGTCCATATGTACTCGTACATTTGTTAAAACATCTTGTTCTCATCACTGCACATAAACACACACCCACGTCATGTACAGTATTGTGAAATAATATTTTTGATAAAAAAGCTAATCAACAGCAATATCAATTCAAATATATGTATATGTATACCTGATCGTGAACCCAGAGCATTTTGGCTAGACATGGAAACAACCAATATAGCTACAAGAAAAAACAATGCTAAGTTTTTTGTGAAACCCATTTTTTTTTCTGTTTTATAAGTTTATTGAAAAAAATAAAATGTTATGTAATGTAACAGAACTCGAATAAGCCTTATTTATAGAGTTTGAAATCTTTGTACCATTTTTCTTTTCAATTCCTGCCATTAAGAGTTCTTCATATTTGTCAATGATATTATATTTTGGGTTGACCATAAAATCATCTTCATAGCTATATTGAATGGCAGATCTAACAAGGAATTATAAAAAAGAGAGTAAAAATATAAAAAAGAAGAATATAATATCTCATTTGAGAGTGATATATTAAATTCCCTCAGATTATCTACAAATGACATATTACAACTCCGTATTACTTAAATTAAACCAACACAATTAATGTAAAAAAACGACATTAATGTAAACTACCTTCAAAATACGGCAGATATCTATGTGTATACCAAAAACACATATTTTCTCCTACAAATATGGAATGTTCTAAAAGAATATATATTATCAAAATATGGAATATGGAAATCTACTAAATAATATTAAATTAAACCAGTGGTTATTTATGTAATATAGTTTTGGGCTTACTTTTATTTTTTGAACAAATTATATAGTTTTGTTTTTGGGCTTAGTATTAAGAAAAAACTCCAAAAACATTGAATAAACTTTTCACCTTAAAAGATCAAAAAATCAATTATTATTTTCAGACCCAAAAGGTATTTAATATTTTTAACTAAACAAAATTATCCATTATTAATCATTTATTTAAATCATGTACTTTAAAACATGTTAATATTTTTTTTTTAAAAATAACAATCACTTTGTTTTGATAATTTCAAAGGTAACTTTTAAATAATTTTTTGTTTTATTTTTCTTAAATAATTTATTGATTAAAAAATGTAAAGCAAAACCAAAAACCAAATCTAAAAACTAAAATCCAAAACCAGAAGCTGAAAACACATATTATATTTTTTTTGCTTTGTTTATTTACAAAATAAACTATTTCAATTTTTTTTAAAAAAAATTTGTTTTCATCTTTTCAGTTTTAAATTAGATGTTCGATTATTTGAGATTTGTTTGTTGGTAATATTTGTTCAAACTAACTCAGCGGGTTTAAAAATTAAAAACCCAAACCAAAATCTGAAAATGAAAAGTAGAAACTTAAAAACTAAAAACCAAAATCCAAAATCTAAAAATAAAAACTGAAACTAAAAACTAATGAAAAACAATCATCACCACAAATTTTGGTGAGCTGATTTTATATCAAAATATTATTTAAATTATGACAAAACCCAATTATATAAATTTTTAATCATAAAAAATTTCTGCGCTTTTAAGCGTGGGTCAAAATCTAGTCTATTTTATTAAAATAGAGTCATTATTTTTATCTACTGATACAAGTTGTCATTTAAATTTGGACCCTTTCTAGAGTCTTACAAATAATACAAGTTATATAGTTGATTGAACCACATTACTTAAATTAAACCGGCGGTTATTTATGGAATAGTGTTTTGGGCTTACTTTTGTTTTTATGACATTTAATTGTTTGGTTTTGGGGATTAGTATTAAAAAAAACTCCAAAAAACATTAAATAAACTTTCAACCTTAATGAATCAAAAATCAATTACTATTTTCAGGCCCAAAAATATTTAATATTTTCAACAAAACAAAATTATCTATTATTAATCACTTATTTAAATCATGTACTTTAAAACATGTTAATATTTTTTAGCCCAAAAATATTTAATATTTTCAACAAAACAAAATTATCTATATTAATCACTTATTTAAATCATTGACTTTAAAACATGTTAATATTTTTCATTTTTAATAACAATCCCTCTGTCTTGATAAATTTTAATGGTAACTTTTAAATAATTTATTGTTTTATTTTTTCTTAAATAATTTACAGATTTAAAAAAAAAAATTGTAAAGCAAAACGAAAAACCAAATATAAAAACTAAAATCCAAAACCAAAAGCTGAAAACACATGTTATATTTTTCGCTTTTTTATTTACAAAATAAATTATTTCAAAATGTTTAGAAAATTATTTTGTCATCTTTTCAGTTTTAAATTACATGTTCGATTAATTGAGATTTGTTTGTTGGTAATATCAGTTCAAACTAATTCAGCGGGTCTAAAAATTAAAAACCCAAACCAAAAGCTGAAAATCAAAAATAGAAACTTAAAAACTAAAAACCAAAAACCAAAATTTAAAACAAAATCTAAAAATAAAAACTAATGAAAAACAACTATCACCACAAATTTTGGTAAACTAATTTTATACCAAAACATTCTTTAAATTAAGACAAAACTCAATTATATAAATTTTTAATCATAAAAAATTTCCGCGCTTTTGAAACGCGGATCAAAATCTAGTATGACTTATATTTGATTAACATAAAAACAATACTTTTGTAACGACCCAAAACCTAGGTAGGCCCATTTTCTCTAGTAATTAAAATTCTTAAGTATTTTACTTTGTCCCACATTGGAAGTTTAGAAAGTTTACCTCCTTTCCCTTCCCCTATATAATAAACTTCCCCCTTCTTTTTATTCTCATCAAGTCAAAGTATTTCTTTGCGTGTGACAAGTTGTTGAATTATTCGACGACCAGTCACTAAGTAATTTTTCTGGCGAGAGTTTTGGTCAAGTCCCCGGGCGAGTTTTTGGGCGATAGTTCCGGTAAGTTTATCACCCCTCTATTTCTAGTTTTGTTAAGTTCTGGTTAGAGGAATTTTAGTTTAGGAAACCCGCCTTTTAGGAAAGTTTCTATTTTAGGAAAGTTTATATTTTAGGAAAGTTTCCATTTCAGGAAAGTTTCTATTTTAGAAAAGTTTCTAATTTAGGAAACTTTATTTCTAGAGACTCTGAGCCTAAGTCGTTGATTTCCCTCGTGTTGCAGTTGACCTCAGCTGACAATCTTTCGTTGATCATTCCAGCCAGAGGCAAAGGTGAGGGTCTATTCCGTAAATTCTGTTACTAGTGTAGAATCCCTGCTATGTTAATTTAGATTTCGAAGCATGATCTGTCTGTTTGAATTGAGTCTGGTTGAGTGTTGTTTGGTAGTTAAGTTATTAAATGTAAACTAGAATTAGGAGGTCTAGAGGATTCAACTATTGTTTGGATTGATTGATGTTAAATGGTTAAATACATATATAAATATATATATATATATATATATAATATTATAAAGTATGGATTATGTGATGAGTACGGGGGCCAGAGAAATCTGAGCTATCGACGTATATGAGTACGGGGGCCAGAGAAATCTGTGCTATCGACGTATATGGGTGCGGGGGTTCGGAGACATCCGGGCTATCGACG